CGGGGCCTGGGGCCGCCGCGGGGCGGTCCGGGCCGCGGAGGCCGTTGGGCCGGGGCGAGCGCGCGGCCCTGGCCCCAGACCCCGGCCGCCGGGAGGGTGGGCGGATGGGAAGCTACCGCTTCCTCCCTGAAGCGGGCCCGGCCGCGCTGTCTAGAGAAGGGCACCCCGAGCAGCCTCAAAACAAAAACCGCGTCTAGGGAATTGGGCGAGTCCCTAAGACCCACAGTGGTCCACTTCAATGCAGTGGAAGGTGAACGGCTACTTTAGGGGTTACTTGGGGTGTTTCTGGCGGTTGTGCTTAGGGAACCTTCACTGGGGCCATTTTATATTTCTTAAAAAAAAAAAAAAAAAGACGAAGGTTGAAAAGCACTTATCTCGGTTCCTTCCGAATCGGTAAAATGGCGAAGGGGAAGCAAAACCCCCATCGTATCTTCCACTAGCAAAAGCACCAAAGCAAACAAAAAAAGCTTACAGTGGTAAAAGTGCCCCTGCTTTCGCCTTGAAATTTGCCTACTTCTCCCCATTTGTCCCTTTTTGGTTACTTGCGATCACGTAGGTTTGCAAAAAGCAGTCACATAAATAACCTTGTCAGTCACCAACGCAATGTTATCACTAGTCCACCCCACTCTTATTTTTATTCTGACAATAAAACACGTTTTTGCCCGGTCCCAAACGCCGCAGACAAGCCCGCGGCCGCCCGACTCCGTACCGTTGGCGACTCGGGTCGATCCATCATGGCTGCGGCCGCTTACCCTGCTTTTCAGTCCCTGAGCCTTGTGGTCCTCCTCCCTTTGGCTGCCCTGTTTATATAGAGCCATTGCCGCTCTCTAATATAGACTCTGCCAGGATGGGAAGGTGCTTTTCAGGCCTACGTCACCGCCTCTCCATTTAAACACTAGATCCGGCTTTAAATAGTGAGAGCTGCTGAGAGCGGGGCTGGGAGGTGCGTGCTCCCGAGGCGAGAGGCAGGAGCGTGCAGAGCTCAGTTTATTTCTAGGTCCTTTCCTTACGCTGTAATTTCGCACCCAAAAGGGCAGCTTTCAGAGTCCCAAGTTTTTTGTTGTTTTGTTGCAGCAGCTAGGGTTTCCTGTCTTTGTTAGGGGAAAATAGAATTGCTGTACCTTCTTTTTATTTTTATTTTTGCTTTTAAACAGAATTGCAGCTCAGCTGTCTAATCGTTTTTGTATTGGAGAATGTGTTACTGTCGGGAATTAAAAAAAAAAATGCTTCCTACATTAACTGTTAGCTGCAGGGTACTTTGGTAGTGTTCTGTTCTTCAAATATTCAGAATATATGTTAGAAATAAAGCTTCTAATATGCCGTTGTTTTTCTATATTAAATGTTGGAGACATGAAGCTTTTTGAAGAAACAGTAAAGTGCCTAAAAGCCTCAACTAGGACCTTATGTCCACAGTACATTTATGTATAGGCCAATTGTGAGTAATGAGAGTAAGGAGGCTTAGTGCAAACTGGATCTCAAAAAAATTATAAGTTGGCAGTGTTTTTATTTCATTGGATATTAATATTCTAGATGGAAGTTAACCTGATTTACTTTCCAGTGTTCCCCCAGGGAACTAACACTTTGGAAAGGAACCTTCTAAATAATCATTAGATAGTGACAGTCATGGCTCTTCAATTTACCAGTTTGGAATATCTGTGTTTTGAAAACCAGGACAAACCTAAATTACTCTGTATTTTGTAAAAGGCAAAAACTTTGGCTTAAGTAAGGTTTAGCATTTTAAATAATAACTTGGAAATTGCTTATTTCAGGGAGTGCCTGTGTACCCCCAAGCTTTTAAAAACATGAGTATTATGGGGGCTTACCAATTTATGAACAGTTCTGCTAAATTATTCTTTGTGTATATGTCATGAAGAATACACATTTCCCTTTAGAGCTTTTATGAAATTAAGTGGTCAACTTGGAGGTTAACTAAGGCACATAAGCAAAATCCTAAAACAAGATAAATTCATTAAATAGGGAGTGCCAGAAGAAAGCAAGTTTTGTAGCTGTAAATGTCTGGATCTCCAAGCTGAAGATTTTTAGGAGTGATTGACTTCAGAGAACACCAAACATCCAGTTTGCTGAAAAAATAATTTATATCATCAGCTTAAGATTCATAGTAACAATTTAAAATTACACTACCTCTTTATAGTGCATTAAGTATTATTATTGGCTTAAAGAAAACCACTTTTTAAATGTTATTTTTGTAATTCATTGGTTAAATCACCATAGATAAAATGATAATCTCTAGTCAGTGACAATTTCCTTGTATGTAGAATCAGAATGTTAAAATAAGGAGGCCCTCCCTATAGAGTTTCACATTTTGCACATGAATAACTTAAAAGTTTACAGAGGCAGATTTGGTAAAATAAAGCAGGTTAGTGAATGGAATAGCAAAGGTGAGAACCCAGATATATGAATTGTTTTTCTGGTTATGATGAAAAGGAGCAAATTTTAATGGTTGAGGTAAGTTATACAGAGGAACTCATTATTTGTAGTTTTGGCAGTGCAAGAACACATTTTCTTAGAGGGTTCTCCTGTGATAACAATATTGCTGTTAGAGATGCTAGTGAGACATTTCTCTTTGAGATTTGGTTATGAAAGCAAACCCTTGGTTTTATTGGGTAGTTCTTAAGGTAAGAACCAGTAGTTCTTACTTTAGCAGGCTATAAAACACAAATAATGACAAACATTAAAAGAAAAAGGCTGATAACCTTAACTGTGATAATGGATAGGATTTATAACAAGATAGCTCTAGTTTTATCACACTGATATGCAGACTTCTTGCTTAACATGTTAAAAATAGGATGTGGGTTGGGCAAATTACTATTACCTTTTGATTTTTAAAAAATACTTTATACTTTTGAAAGTGCTTTCACATTTATTCTCCTTTTATCCTTCTGGCAACCTTCTAGAAACAATCTTCCCCTCCAACCCTTCCCAAGTAATACCGACAATGATAGTAATAATAATTAGAAAAATAAACATTGAAGGATGTCCGTGATTCTATTTCATGGCGTCGTCTGGGCAGTAGTTGAATGAAAGAAATTCTGGGAAAGAAGTCAGTGTGCCTTGTTCATCTGGGGCTTTAAGACCTGTTATTGTGGGTATATGAACAGTTTAATGGTGTAGCTTAAAGGCACAGACTGGTTGACAGAAAATAGAAATTACGTGATTTTTAAATTAGATTGCAGATATTATCAGGCAGATGACTGCAGGACGTAAGTTAAGGCTTAGTGAGGAGGTTGTGAGATCTAACAGAAGTCAAAGGAAAGAATAATAGGAACCAGATATAAGCAACCCATAAGGCTGTTTTTTGGGTCACATTAGGTGTTTTGATTATAACAACATAGAAAATTATAACTGGAAATTGTGTGGACCTTGTATATGTAAGGACTTACTGTATATGAATTGCATTAGTCTTTAAGACTTCTTTTAAAATATGCAGTCATAAAATAATCCATTTTAATTGAAGCAAATGACGTTTGTTAGGATGGCCATATCTTTAAAGTTACATCTTCTAAAATAAATTTTGATTAGTTGGAAAAATGACTATTGTATTATATTTAATTTGTTTTGAATATGTGAAAAATCTTTTTCAAGTTTTTTATTTTTCCTTTAAAGCCTAAATTATACAGATCTGTGATTGAAGATGTTATTAATGATGTGAGAGACATCTTTTTGGATGATGGAGTTGATGAACAAGTTCTTATGGAACTAAAAACTGTGAGTTTGCCTCTTGTTGTTTTGATAGTCATACCTTTTTTTTTTTTTTCCTTAAAATACTCTCTTCAGCCAGAGACTGATCCATAATTTTTCCATGGGATGAGCATTCAACTTTGCTGCAGGAGGCAGTATGTGGGTAGGTGAAGGAGGCTAGCTTTAGATAGCTCTACCATCCATCCTTCCTCAGCTCTTAGGCACACTGTATTTCAGTTTCATTATGTGTGATATGGGAATTGGTCAAACTCACCTTACAGGTTTGTTTTGAGGATTAAATATAATAACCATATGAAGTGCTTAAGCACAGTGCCTGGCTATTCCATTCACTGGAATGCTATTCCATTCAGTGGACTGTTAACATTGTATATTTATGGTCTTAATTATTTGACATACCTATAGTTTTGTTTTTTCCCCCCCCTTTTTTTTATGGTCTTAACGTACCTGTATTCTAAAAAGTGTTTATGTTGTGGAGATTAAATAAGTGCTTGATAAAAGAATTTTATGTTAAGTCTGATTTATTTTTATGTGGGCCAAATATTAGGTTTCTGATGTATTTGACATTGGGAGCTGGTTTTCTGTCTCTTGGATTTCTTTGGATTTAAGCAGAAATAATTAGATCTTTTTATTTAGCATTTGTGTTTTCTTGGTGTTGTAATGACTCATGAAATTATGGAATATTTTTGCCTTATTGCTCAGAACAGTGGTTCTCAAAATAAGGTCTATAGAGTCCTGAGGTTTCCTCACAGATTGTTCAGTAGGTCCATGAGGTTGGCCAGATGCCCAAGTCTGAATAATCATAGTTTGTCATATTTTCAGTAAAAGTTGTGTTCTATGAAAAGTGGCCAGTTAAACTTGCTACTCAAATGCACTGAGTATTTTCCCTTGAGATAACTTCCATATGTACAGTGCTTTATGTATGCTTCCCATTTTGATGCAGTGAATATTAAAAAGATGTGTACTGAAGAGTCAAGATGAGATCACTGTTAATATTAAGAAATGCGATTATTTGATATTCTTTAATGAAATGTGTTAATATTTGGAATACTGCATAATTCACTGAACTTATATTTTCCAAATGACCACTGCATGATGTTGCAAAATCCCTTCAAAGTGAAAGATAAATTAATGGATTTTAATATAAAAGTATGAAAAGTTCATTGGTGTATGGTTTCAGATTCTACATTGTAGCTAACTTTAAAGAAACCATCACTTAAAACACTTATTTTCCCAACTGTTTTAGGTGTGCGAAGACAGATTTTCTTCATGTATTCAACCAAAGAAATAAGATGGTTGTAGAAGCAGATAGGAGAATCCAGCTATTTTTCCTTTAAGCTATTTGTCACTAAATTTGATTTGGTTATTTTTGTTAAAAAATGTGTTGTTTATGTTAACGTGATGGATACATTGCTGTTTTTAAATGAATTTGTAAACAAGAAACCCAACTTAGTTATAATTTCATAAAAGCTCTTTGAGGTTCTCAGTAATTTTTTGAAAGTGATAAAGGATCCTGAGACTCAAAAATTTTAGAACTGCTGGCTTAGAAATTGGGTATTGAGCTCCTTGAGGACTATGTACAAATAAGTAATCACAATTAATGTGAAGAACATTTGTTATCATTTATCTATTCAGTGGAAGTGTGGAGGCTGTAGTTTAGGAACTTATTTTAAATAAAGTGGACCTCTCCTTTATGGTGATGAAATCTATCTTAAGAGTATTTACGCATCTGTGGATAACTTCTGTGGAGTTTTTGATAAGAATCTGCTTGTGTGAGGAAGGAAAAATACATTTAAGTGAAATGAAATTTGTATTTACCTTGAGAGAAATGTAATGGTTATTAAAAGTGACAAGTAGGCATCCAAAAATACAAGTGAAAGAATGCCAACTCTTGAGGCCTGAGTTGGAAGAATGGCAATATAAACTGCTTAAATAGCATAAAGTATCTCAGGATATGAATAAGAGAATAAGATTCCTTTGTGTTATGTGGAGCAAATACTTTGCAGTTTATCTTACACTCATATAATGGTTGTCCTTGAAGTACTTTGACCTTATGTAGAAGATACAACATTTTTAAATGTAGAAAATCAGTTCCAAAGTCTTTAATCTACCCTAAATCAAACTAGTAGTCAATCCAGGTGGTTTGTTATCTACTCTTGTAGATAACAAGTGTGGGGAATTGATTTTTCCTACTGGTCCCAGTAGAATCGAAGGATTCTCTCCAAAGAGAAGGAGATGTCTTTGAGATTAAATAGATCTACTTGTATTTTTATTACATTTGACAGTTCAAATATATATTAGTGTAATATATATATAATGTATATAATATGTGAATATTTTATATGTTTTATGCATTGATTTGTTTGATGGCTAGTTTTTAATGATAAAAATGACAAATTATTCTACTTTGAATCCCTAGCCTCTCTAGAGCACAGTGCCTCGCATATGTGATTGGTATTCAGGAAATATTAAATTAGTTAATAACAAACATGGCTCCAGAATCTAACAGAACAACGTAGTTTAATATTTTTGCTGTTTTTCAGATGGAGCATACTCTTCTATTGTGGGTTGTAACTGGATTTAAAAATAAACTGTTGGGGTGCCTAGGTGGCTTAGTTGGTAAAGCAGCTGCCTTCAGCTCAGGTTATGATCCCAGGGTTCTGGGATCGAGCCCCACATTGGGCTCCTTGCTCAGCAGGGAGCCTGCTTCTCCCTCTCCCTCTAACTACTACTCCACCTGCTTGTGCTCTCTCTCTATGTCAAATAAATAAAAGATCTTTAAAAAAAGAAAATAAAAATAAACTGTTACACTAAATTGAGTTTATGTTATTTTAATTCTCTGTACTAAATTTCTTCAGGATCCCATTAGAATTTCCAGAATGTGCCCTATCTGTGGTGATAGATGTTCCATATCTGTGCCCTCCAGTATGGTAGCCACTAGTGACAGGTGGCTATTAAGCACTTGAAATGTAGTTAATGGAACTCAAGAACTGAATTTTTAATTATAATTAATTGCAATTTAAATCACCATGTGTGGCTGGTAGATATTGTATTAGACTCTATAGGTTTAGACATTCTTGCTAACAAAAACTAACATTAATTTTGCGTTTTATGGTTTACAAAGGACTTTGTCATTAGTTCTAGCCCCTTCCCACTTTTTGGCTGTTTCACAGACTTTTATCAAAAACTTCACCACTGCTGCGAAGGATACAATGGTGAATTAGATGATGAATTAAGATGAGTAATGACTGTGCATGTAATTTGAAGTTTAACTAGATAATGCTGGAAGAGAAGCAATTAAAAAAAAGTCAACCCAATTCTCAGAGGTTATCTTGAAACACTTTGGATGTACTTTAATGTATAAACTGTGGGAGATAGAAAAAAACACCTAAAACGTAGTCTTGATAGTCTTTAATCTGTATTTGAATGTAAATTGTGTTTTGGATTAGTGAGTAATTATGGGTGGGAATGACAGTCTACAAATCCTGTTCAGGGTGCCTGGGTGGCTCAGTTGGTTAAGCGACTGCCTTCGGCTCAGGTCATGATCCTGGAGTGCTGGGATTGAGTCCCACATCGGGCTCCCTGCTCAGCGGGGAGTCTGCTTCTCCCTCTGACCCTCTTCCCTCTCGTGCTCTCTGTCTCTCATTCTCTCTCTCTCAAATAAAAAAAAAAAAAAAATACAAATCCTGTTCAAAGTGAATGATAAAATCATCCTCATTTCTACACTTAGACCTATCCATATCTAAACAGCAAGTATATATAAAACATGATCTCTCTTCTGAATAAAATAAAGTGAGAATTTCCTCAATTGGAGACAAATCTGAAACTCAGTTTATTGGTCTCTAGATCAGGTTTGTCAGCCTTGGCACTACTGTCCTTTGTTAATTCTTTGTTGCAGAGAGTTGTTCTGTTCGTTGTAGAATGTTAACAGCATCCCTGGCGTCTGCCCACTAAATGCCAGTAGTACTGCTCATTTCTGACAACCAAAAAATGTCTCCATGCATTGCCAAATGTCCCTGGGGGGCAAAACTACCCCTGATTGAGAACCATTATTCTAAATATACTCTAGTTATATATAAATACTTGGGCCATAACTTGAACAATAATCTATTATTTTCTACTTCATTTATCCTTGGGGAAAACTCTGTACCCCAACCCCATTTCAAGGGAGCCCAGAAGTGCAGTTTTCTTGTTATTTATTCAGGAGCTAGATGTTTTGTGAAAGTAGAATCCTTCAAATTTCTAGCCTGGCAAACTGCCAGGAAATAGAAGCTTTAATCACAAATTTATAGATCAAAAAACAGACTCGGAATATCCTTTGATAAGGTCATTTAGCAAATGGTAGAGACTTGAATGTAGGCCTTTTGTCTCCAGATGACATATACAATACTTACCAGTAAAAAGGAATTGTGACTAGACCTTTTGTGATAGCAGCAATGTAGTGTAGAGATTAAAACTTGGACCAGAGCTGGGATTAGGATGAGGCAAGCGAGGGGTCTAGGGTGTAGAATTTAAAGAACATTCAGTCTTCACTCTCAGCGTCCAGGTTCCCTGACTGGGAACACTGGAGTCAGACTGCCTGGATTATTTCCCACTTTTGTCTGCTACTGGTTGGTGGTCTTGGATAAATTATCTAACTTACTGTTCTTCAGGTTTTTTTCTGTAAAAAGGAGATAGTAACAATGTGTTACAGGATTTTGTAAAAATGAGTCTGTACGTGTAAAGTTACTCGCAAAGTGCACAGTAAGAATACAATACAGGATTAATCTAGTTAATATGACCTATAGATGTACGTTATAGCCATTTGGGGAACAGAAAATGAATTTTCTCCATGTCTAATTTCAGAGACCTGGCAAAGATTGATGAAATAGGATTGCCAGAAATAATAGCTACTGTGTTGGAGGGAAAATAGTATTATAAAAATAAGAGTTCTTCTATTTCCTAAGCAAAATAAATAAATATGTAACAATTCAGTATTCTTGATTGTTGTCAGTAGTATTAACATGATTACTGTTGCCGAAAACAGTATTGCATTGTTTATTTTAAATAGCTGATATTTAAAAAACAGCGTATTTTGATAAATACAATTAAAATAAATTGGATTAAAACAAAACATTTAGCTGATGTGAACTTTATATTATTTGATATTATAAGTTTAATGCTAAGTATTTGTACAGTACTATATTTGTATTTTTCACGTTACCTAGGACAGTATTTGGTACTTAGTAAATGTGGCTTCTCAATACACTACTCCAACACCCCTTTTTCCTCTGCTCCCTACCCTCCCCAGCAGTTGGAAATGTGTGGGGCCGTGTTTGCTTGTCTTAATGACTAGTGGGCACCTTTGGCATTTAGTCGGCTACAGCCAGGAATGTTGTTTTTTCTGTACACTTCCTGTGGCACTACCCTATACAATAAAGAATTGTCCTGGCCAAAATGTCAGTAGCATCCTTACAGAGAAGCATTATGCTAGAAAACAAGTTTGTTTTCCCTTTTCTTCTTTGAAATTACTAAATGTCTGATAAGTTCTTAGTCATTTTGTTAGCTCCTGAATAAGTCTCTGTCTTGAAGGAGTTCATACTTCAGTAGAGAAGGTAGACTTAGTGTGAAAAGTATGATAAAAATATTTCTAGGGTTTGGAGGCAGTGAGTGATTTCTCTTGAGGCTGTGTGACAGACGTTACCATTGTTTAGGGAATCGTGAGGGAAGACTGCTAGTCGGAATAGTTTACTGAGATTTAGACACGAGCTATGTATGGTATATTCAGGGAACTGCAAGTACTTGGACACTGTTAGGAAAGTAGAATGCAAATTATAGTAGCAGAGAAGTAACATAATTCTGTATTAAGGAGCTTGATCTTTACGTGAGAAAGATTCTCTGGGGTGCTAGTTAAAATGCAGATTTTTGGACCTCTGCTCCAGAGAGTCTGACCTGATAAAGGCACAGTCTGACATTTTCTTTTTAATTCAATAACATATACCAAAAAATAAAAAAAAAATTAAATTGACTTTTAACAACCTACTAATGGGTTGCAATGTGCACTTTGAAAAGCATTGGTTTAGACTTCAATAGCGTGCATTAAAGTGACCTGGATGGGTTATTAAAACAGATTTTTGGCTCCATCCCCAGAGTTGCTGAGTCAGTAGGTCTGGCGTGGGGCCTGAGAATTAGTATGCCTAACAAGTTCTCAGGTGATGCTGATGACCACATTTTGAGGACCACTGATTTATAGAGGATAGATTGGAAGAGCAAGTTTTCATTAGAATGTAGACCCTGTGAGGAGGAGGATTTTTGTCAGGTTTGTTCACTGTCTGTTCTCAGTGCCTCTAGTAGTGTCTAGTACATAGATCTCAGGAATTATTTGTAGAATTTATGACTTGATGTGGGGAGCTCAGTGGGCTTAGTCATTACACTTTATAGTAGTACTGGTGGGAGGAAAGGACTTGAACCAGGGCCATACCAGTAAGGATAGATTGGAACAGTGCTTTGCCCTGCTCAGTGGGAAGCCTGCTTCTCCCTCTCCCACTTGCCCTGCTTGTGTTCCCTCTCTTGCTGTCTCTCTCTCTGTCAAATAAATAAATAAAATCTTAAAAATTTTTTTTAAAAATCATGGTTTAAACAACTGTATCCAATGGTACCTTGATTTTTGGCTTACCGGAGGCTAGGTTTTGTTTTGTTTTAGAACAGACAAAAGAAGTGTAGAAGTTTTGGGTGAATGCAGACTGTTCGGGAGCCTTTGTATATAATATGTTAGTTGGAATGTATTTTATTCAGTGTGTAAGTTTCCGTTTTGTCCTGGGTGCTATGCTAGATGCCCACTCTACAGAGATGAACCAGATACAACTTGAGCTCTTGGAAAATAATTGTTACCTTAGGAGGAACTCTAGCTGTTTTTAATTTGAGATTTTTCAGAGACTTAGATTTCTTAGCTGGAAGTGATTTTAGAAGTAATTCAATTTGTCCTCTTTATATTTTTTATTTTTTTAAAGATTTTATTTATTTATTCGACAGAGAGAGACACAGCAAGAGAGGGGACACAAGCAGGGGCAGAGGGAGAGGGAGAACTGGACTCCCCGCTGAGCAAGGAGCCCGATGTGGGACTCGATCCCAGGACTCTGGGATCATGACCTAAGCCGAAGGCAGACGCTTAATGACCGAGCCACCCAGGCACCCTATCCTCTTTTTAGATGAAGAGGAAAATGCCCAAGAAAGATACATAATTTGTCCACAAAGCTGAATAGTGGCCAAACCAGGACTGTTTCTCTTACTTCTGGTGTAATGCTCTATTACACTATTAATAGCACCACAACCGTAATAATGAAAACTAACATTTATTGTTCACTGAGTTTATGCTAGATTCTGATAAACGTTTTGCACAAATATGTTACTGAGTCCTTACAACAACCCGTGAGAGAGAGATTGTTACTATCTCTATAAGAATAGGCTTCAGGCAAATCTAAATTCTGAGCTTGCTAAGGGGAATGGTTGCTTTGGGAGATTGACCTTTAGTTTACTTTTTTAGCAAGCCATTAGCGATATGCTGGAAATATTATTAGCATGTAGCTACAAATATAGAATTTCTAGAACAGTTGGAAGTGTTGGAAGATGATAAAAATCATTGTGAGTATGGTAAAAGGACCTTTTTGAAGGATCTGATAGAAGTCTCAGGTGTGTTAGGCAATATTCCACGAGCATATCCTAGGGGAGAAAGCAGTGTGTGTAGGTGCTAGGTGCTTGTGTACAAAATGACTGAATTATTATTATTTTTAAAATATTTATTAGACAGTACATGTGTGCTCAAGAGTGGGGATGGGGAGGGGGGGAAGGAGGGACAAACAGACTTCAGAGCCTAATGCCAAAATCAAGAGTCAGACGCTTAACTGACTGAGCCACCCAGGTGCCCCCAAAATAACTGAATTACATTTCATTTGTATATTTTAAAAAATAGTTTGTTTCTTTCTTGGGCAATTTATTTTAAGGGTTGAGGTTCTCCAGATTGAACACTAAGTCTGGTAGAGAGGAAATGTGTTAGGGAAAAGTATGAAATAGTCATAAGTATTTTATTTTCTGTCTTTTGCCTGTGTCTGATTTTTTTTCTCCATCGTAATAGCTGTCCTAGGGTGAGAGGAGAAACTAGAGAGGTGGCAAAGCAGGAAAATATTGTTATTCCTTGTCATGATGGAAAATGGGGGAAATTTCAAAAGGTGTGGAGGGTTGAGAGTGCCTCTGAAAGCATTAGGCATTGCTGTTTCTTTTTTCTTCTGTAGGATCAGACAGATGGAAAGTTAGGCTTTTCTAACTTGAGGATTGCCTCTGTAATGTTTCTCAATGTTCAGATCAAGAAAGGATGAATTTATGTTTTACATGTATAATTTAAAAATTAGATATTTCATTAAAGGGAGACTTCCATGAGAAAAGAATTGATTTGATGTTAAAAAAGGATAATCTTTGATTATTAAAAAATTGCTTATATGAAATTCTGCCTGGAATTACTAAGGAATTACTGAAGAAAGTTTGAAGATATAAAAAGAAACAAAATTCTTCATTACTCTAAAATAGCAAAAAATAAATTTGATACTTTAAAAGTTAATTTTCATTATTGTATATACTTGGGTAAGAATTAGAGTTTGGTTTATTTTATTAGAGATTGGTTTTATCAGTTTTGAAAATGAAAGAATTTTATAAACAGACTAGTAAAATAACGGTTTGTCCACATGTTCAGAGTTATCTTCACTAACATTCACTTAGAATGTTCCTTACTTTTCTTTGCCTTAGTTGTGGGAGAATAAACTAATGCAGTCTAGGGCAGTAGATGGATTTCATTCGGAAGAGCAGCAGCTTTTATTGCAAGTTCAGCAGCAGCATCAACCCCAGCAACAGCAACATCACCACCACCACCACCATCAGCAAACTCAGCCACAGCAGACGGTACCTCAGCAAGCGCAGACCCAGCAGGTCCTTATTCCTGCATCACAGCAAGGTGAGACTGGATATATTTTTCTGCTTACAACTTGGAAATGAAATTTGTCATTTTCCAAAGAAGAGAAATACTGTAGGTTTTCCCTTTCTGTTGACTCTCTGTATTTACGTACAAATTTTGTATAAAACGTGGATTCTATATTGTAGTAATGATAAACAAGTAGTTAACTAATTGAGAGCCTAAGATGATATAAGTGTATTACTATTTTCTTTTGAGAAGGCTACATAATGGTGGATTTCCTAAAATACATCAGACCTATAAAGATTTATTACTAAGGGTTTCATTATTTTATATGGTAAAATCGTTACCTACTTTCTTTATGAAATTGATTTCTTCAGACATTTAAGTTTGGTTTTTATAAATATATCTTAAACACTGGGGGAGTTTTGTAAGTGTGGCAGTCTGAAATTTCAATTCCCTAATACTTTAAGTGTAAATCGACTGAATTAGATTTCTTTTAAGTGAAGAGTATGTATATATAGCATATCTTAATTTATTTACTTAGTTTAGAGGTACGAAAAACCCAAGTATTTATAGAGTGTGTCCATAGTGCTTTGTACTGTGCAAGTAAATTTATAGATTTGTTTCACTGAAGCTTTATAAAAGGCTTTCATTTCTTCCAACATTTCAGTGCTAAGGAAAATTTGGGCCTTGAGAAGGCTAGGAAGCTTGGTCTGTTACATGTAATAAGTATTTTCTGTCTTGACACATATGTATTCAGTTATGAAACTTCCCTAGCATTTGAGTTTTGTAAATCTTGTTACTGGAGAGGAGAATGAAGATAAATGAAAAGTTTTATTTTAAGGTAACGGTTTAGTTACCCATTTGCCTCATTTTGAGAGTATCTGAGAATATATAAGACTTAAAATTGATAGTGATATATAGTAAGTAATGCATGGTAGAAATGTCTGTTTGGATTTTTTTACTGTTTATACCAAATAAGACTTTTAATATTTGGTTTTATTCTATACCTGCATCAAATAATTTTATCCTTTTGATCTGTTTTGATGACTGTTCCTCCTATTGCCTTCAGGCCTGGCACTAGGATTTTAGGTCATCATAAATTAAAATTTGATTTTCTTCACTCAGAGAATATTAGGATAATGGGATTATCTGTTTATTCTCTGAAATTTGCGGAATCAAACACTTACCTCCTTTTATACTTATGTAACATTGCCATGCTTTCTTTCTTTTCTTTTTTTAACATTGCTATTATTTCTGATTTATATTTTTTAAAAAGTTGGTGGAAGTAACAAGATTCTGGCAGCTGTCAAATGGGAGAAGAGGGCTATGTAGATTAAAGACAACTAGTTAATGGTTTTTTGGGGCTCATTCTTAATGGGTTACTAACTCATTTAACAGTAGTAGTGTATCAGCAAAACAATACTGAGTTAGCAAGACAATTAAGTTGTTTGAAAATTTCCAGTTTAAGAATGCACAGAGCTGTGTGTGTGTGTGTGTGTGTATACATATATATATATATATATATATATATATATATGTATTAGGTATCTCACTACTTCATGTTACCAAATTCCTTTATATCCTTAGGTGTTGTTATTCAAATCTTTTTTTTAATTGATGTTTTCCAGTATAAGATGGGTATATCACAGCTGTTATTTGCTGTAGAAACTGATAACAGTCTGAGGTATCAAATAGGTGAATGCATTTGAATGCAGAAAACAGGAAAAAAGTTTTCAGCATTGTATAGTATTCTTAGGATTATGAAACAGCCTCATGGTTCCTTGTTTGCACTTGTACTTTTTTTTTTTTAATAGCTGCTGCACCACAAGTTATAGTTCCTGATTCTAAGCTGATACAACATATGAATGCATCAAACATGGTAAGACTCAGAACATAGCATTTTGGCTCTACTTATTCTAACTCAAAATTGTGATTATGCCCAGGTATGTTGTGTGTTAACAACCTGAAGTTTATTCAAAACTTGAACAAAATGGCTGTTTTATTTGGTTTCCTAATTATTGGATTTACCAGCAGATCTAAAGTTTAACTTGATATTTAGACATAGAGATTCATAAAATTATGCAGTTTTGTGTTGAAAATACCAAAAGAATGATGCTTTGTGAGAGCTATTTCATCCCAAGCTATTTTTGGAAAATGGGTTTAGGGGACCTACCAAACATAATGTGCCAATTATAGTTGTTTCAGAAGACCCATTAATTACTAGAGGTCAGGAATGCTAAGAATTATAAACTTTAAAAATGAAAATGAACTGTTTGGATAGTTCAGGGTAACTGTTTTTAAGACCAAACCTTTAAAGATTTTTGCTCTGATTTAACCATAGCATAGCTTAATAAGATTTATTACAATGTGTATATTATTACTTTAAAATACATTTTAACCAGTTGAGTTTATTATGCCTTAGTGTTTTGGTATTTCTAAGGGATATTCACTGAACATTTAAGTCCTCAAATTTTCAAATTTCATTTAGGGCATGTAGTATTTCCCATCAAATACAGTACCATATAACTAAAATTAGAAAAATTACTTCAGATTCTTAGAGAATCTTTACCTATATACTTAAAGTTTTTTTTAAATAAGACATTAAAATGAAGTTTTATTAGAATAATTATTCCAGCACTTTCTCATAAATGGCTTTTCTTTTGTTTACAATAAATAGACTGTTAGTGGAGTTTCACCTCTGACATTCTTAAATACATCCAAATCTTTCATTTAAAGGCAAGAATCATTTTTTAAAAAAATCTCTTACTGCTAGCAATGAGATTTTTTCCAGATGGTTATTTTTTTTAATGAAAAAGCAAAAGTATATATTTTTCAAAGATTTATTTATTTTAGGGAGGGGTGGGGGCGGCGCGGAGAGGGAAGGAGAATCTTCAGCAGACTCCACACAGAACGGCAGAGCCTGATTCGGGGCTTGCTCTCACAACTCTGAGATCATGACCTGAACCAAAACCAAGAGTTGAACACTTAACCGACTGTGCCACCCAGGTGCCCTGAAAAAGCAGTATTTTAAAAAATCACTTCTGTTTGGTGAGTAATGAGTAGTTAACCTCAAAGCTCATCTGTGATTGATAAGCCAGATAGGAAACAGGGCTTACGTACTAGACAAATGTGACTCCCTTTTTAAATATACCAGCCTTACAAATTTATAACTTTACAGAATTACAAATTTCTACATGATAGTAGAAATTGCAGTTTTTAAATTCACAAAAAATCAAGGATATCTGTTTGTCCTTATAGTTCAGATTGCTGGAATCAGTTCTTCCTAAAAATCACAAAATTCCAGCCTACCATGGAATCACAAGAATTCTTATCATTCAGAAAATTCCATTTCATGTCTAAGGACCCAAATTTCTTAACCTCCATTCTTAAAAATGAAAGTCTCACTGTAGGATCTGTATTGCAGTTTATGCTGTTGAGACTGTTTCCTAGGGAATAACTTGTGTCCTTTTGTTTTTTAAGATTTGTTTATTCATCTAACAGAGAAGGAAAGAGAGAGCATGCGCACATACAACACAGGTGGAGGGACAGAGGGAGGGGGAGCAGGCTCCCTGCTGAGTACAAAGGCAGACACAGGGCTTGATCCCAGGACCCTGAGATCATGACCTGAGCCGAAATCAAGAATCGGACACTTAAACCACCGAGCCACCCAGGCGCTCTGACTTTTGTCCTTTTAAAACAGAAAATTTTGTAGAATGACTGGCAGTAGGCCCATCTGATTTCTAAGAATTTTAAGTGTTTGAAAGAAAATTTTGAATTAAAATAGTGTTTAAAGAGACTGGGGCAAAATTAGTGGTCCATCTCTTACTTGTTATGTCTCCTTGATTTTGAAGAGCATGTATTTAAACAGATCATAGGTCAGAAACATCTATCAATAAAAGGTGTTAGCATTTATGTGTATTTTAGTTGATGTTTTCAGTGTTTGCTCCATGTATTTTATATGTTCTGAAGTACAGTCACTGTAGGTTCTTTACAAATAAAAGTTTTTTGGTTTTGTTTGTTTGAATTATTATTCCCGAGTTGAAGATACCCATTTGATTGATTGATTGATTGATTTCCATTTTCTTTTTTTTAATTTAAATTTTAGGTAGTTAACACACAGTGCTCTATTGGTTTCTGGAGTAGAATTCAGTGATTCATCATTTACATACAATACCCTTTGCTCATCATAACAGTTGCCCTCCTTAATACCCATTCCCCTTTAGCCCATTCCCTGTCCACCTCCCTCCATCAGCCCTCAGTTTGTTCTCTTTGGTTGAGAGTCTCTTATGGCTTGTTTTTCCTCCCTCCTCTTTTTCTTTTCCCCCTTCCCATATGTTCATCCGTTTTCTTTTTTAAATTCCACATATGAGTGAGATCACACAGTATTTGTCTTTCTCTGACTGACTTATTTCACTTAATGTAATACACTTTAGCTCCATCCATGTCATTGCAGATGGCAAGATTTTATTCCAGTTTTGATTTTTTTAAAAGTTAGGCATGCTTTGGAAATGAACATTGAAAAGTTATGTACTTTAATAAGAATGTAGGATAGTGATAATATATTAGGGAGAAAGCTGTTTCAGGGAACCTACAAAACAGGGCCTTATATCAAACCAGTTTCGCAGGTTCTCTTTTGAAATAATTGCTCTAATGCATTATTCATTTTAAGGCTGTTTCATAAAATACAAGAAGAAATTTTCAGTAGGCATTGATAAAAGATGGTTTGTGTATGGTATGTCACTCAACAGATATTTATTGATAGCATCTTGAATGTGCAGAGGTGTGCAGGTGATTATTTTGTCATGTATGCTTTGTAGAAACTACAGTTGTCATTTTGCCAGTAGAGGGAGATCTATTAATCTTATAAAATCTGAATATTAATATTTCTGAATAGAATTTCTCAGTAGTAAGTGGTTGTTAATGTGTTCCTTAGACTTAAATTACCTTTCATTTGTCTATACAGACAAGATTTATTTAAAAATGAAAAGAACCTGGTGGGGCTATAGCTGGATTCTGGGGACATAGTGGGAATTTGAGGCTTTAGATGTAGAAACTAGTTAGGTCTATCAAATGGCAACAAGAAGCACATTTTCTTAGAACACTGTATGTGGAGTCTAGACTAGATAGTAGTGTCATGAACCTACTTGCGTATAATTTTCCAAGAATTGTTGACTTCTCTGGCATTAGCATCTTCAGAGCACAGTTAAATTTATTTCCCAGAGCTTACCAAATAGAGGTGTTTCTAAAAACGTGTGTGTTAGATTGGTATATGAAGGCTTGGTACCTTTCAAAAGATTGAAGGATGAGGGAGAAAAATGACCTCTATATATAGTTACAGTGAGATGCATGAAACTACTTTGAGTATAGAATTAAAAAAACAGTAAAAATGTGGTGTAATTCTTTTGGAGGAAAGGGGAGAGAAGTCTCCAGAAGCAGTAAATGAGAAATTTATCCTGGATTTAAAGAGATTCAGAGTACACCCATGTATTTTTTTTTTTTGACTTAAATGTCAGATACGACCTCCATTTTAAAATGTAGAAATTAAAGTTGGTGACTTTTAAGATTTTTAGATATTTTTTGTGTTAATAAAACTATTATTAATGTATGTTTCACCTACATATAGTGCCAATATTGTCATCTTAGGGCATTGTAGAATTGCTAGCTCTACAAGCTCAGCCTTCTGATACAAGGTTTTCCTTAAAGCCCTGTTGATTCTGGTATAAATTAAAAATGTTAAGAATTCTAAAATGAAGATACTTAACATTTTGCTTCAAGTATATTACAGTTGACCTTGAACAATTTGGGTTTGAACTGTATGGGTCCATTTATATGCAGATTTTTTGATATAAATATGGTTATTTTCGATAAATAAGGTATATATTTTCTTCCCTCTAGCTTACTTTATTGTAGAATACAATAGATAATATATATATCATACAAAATAGGTGCTAATTGACCATTTATGTTATTGGTAAGGCTTCTGGTCAACAGTAGGCTATTTAGTTTTTGGGAAGTCAAAAGTTATATGTGGATTTTCACTTGTGTGAAGAGTTGGTGCCCTTAGCCCCTGCATTGCTTAAGGGTCAACTGTAATTGACAACAAGGAATTGGGAGTGAGGATATAGAGTAGGAAAAGAAATAGTGGAATGGATATTTTATAATTGTATGACAGTGTCAGTATGTATGTGTGAGGTTTCCTTAGAGCACATTCTCCAGGGGAAAAAACACCCCAATTATATTATTCTACTTCATTGAAGTACGTAAGTAAGGCATTTAGGCTGGATGATCTTCATTGTATCATTTTATAAAATGGGATTTAGTCTTGTTAAAACTTTTCATTTTAGTATATACTAAACGATAAACTTCAAATACTATGAAAATGTGCCAGAGATAAATTGAGGTACCATTATGCACATATGTGGTTTTGATTGTTTTTCCTTTGTTTTTTTCAGAGCGCTGCTGCTACAGCTGCTACCTTGGCACTCCCTGCAGGTGTGACGCCTGTTCAGCAGATACTAACAAATTCAGGTAATGAGGAGTAACGGAACCATTATTTATATGTATAACTCAGAAAATTGTAACATCTAGTCTTTGTTTTGGCCTCAAAGAAAGACAAAATCAGTATTTCTTTAACCATTTGACTTAGGTTATTAAAAATATTGAGTACTGTAGCACATTAAATAATAATTACTGCTGAGGATGCAGTAGAGAAGATGAAAATTGTGCTTGAGCTTTTGATCTGTGAATGAGAATCCTATTATTGAATAAGTATGATTATATAGAAATATTTCTTTACATAGATTTTTGTTAAACACATTTAACCTGCCATATAAGTTAAACTTATTTGAATGAATTTGTGATATCAAACTAAATCCTAGAGTATTTTATTGCATTCTGTTTTACATAATATCTCTGCATAGAATGACAAAATTTACTTGTGATTTTTGGCATATTAATGGAAGAATTTATTTACATGGATGTTAAGTATTCTCTCTAATTTTAATTATAGAATTTCTTGTTATTTTGTTAATAAGATTCTAAATTTTTAAAGAACTAGAGGTTTATCTTGCTACATATTAATATATAATTGTTGCTTTTTAATTAATTGAAGATTCTGTATCATCTAAAACAACAAAGAGAAGGATTCACTTCTCTGTGTTTAAGCCAGGCATACACTCAGTATTATGTGGCAATGATAATTGGTTCAGCAAACTTTTGTTTTAAGCATTTTGAAGCTAAGTATCCTGGTGCTTTGGCTCAAGATATTAATGAACTGTTATACTTTCATGTCTTCGGAGCTTTCAAAAGAAACGGCCCTTGAAACATATGATCTTACTGCTCTTACGTGACTCTTAACATGTTAGTAAAGATAATTTAAACTTCTAATCAACTTTCATAATCTGTTAAAACTTTATTGGAAAAGAGCTTTATAGGGATGATGAGTAAGGAAAAACATTTTAAGCAATGTATTTGAACATGGAAGGAACTGAGAGAAGGTGAGGATTATGTTTATTGTGTATGGCAGCCCTTAATTGTTAGACCTCTTGCTCGATCATTTCTAGGGGATTTTGGTGGCTTGACATTCATTATGAGTTCATTTTTTTGGGGTGGTCACTGCTAAAATGGTAACTTGTAATACATACTTTCTGCTTTAGGCCAGCTTCTTCAAGTAGTCAGAGCAGCCAATGGTGCCCAGTATATCTTTCAGCCTCAGCAATCAGTGGTTCTCCAACAACAAGTTATACCACAAATGCAGCCTGGTGGAGTACAAGCTCCTGTTATACAACAGGTAATAGAATAATAAGTTATGGTCATGATGGGGGGTTCTTTTTTCTTCTGTATAAATTCTCTGGGTGGTTCTCGTCCCCTTTCCCATGGCTTTATCTCTACGAATTCTTAGACTATTCTCCAATGTTGTATCCTGTTGTTGTAAATTCCTCCTGTATACCTTACAGCTTAACTTACATTTAATATATTTAAGACTAAATTGTTGTTTCCCTGCTTATCTTTCATCATTCCTCTGAATATGCTTTTCTGTCAGTGGCACCACCCTCCATCTAGCCTCCTCAGCCTCCGAGTTATCTGGCATTCATTCAACAAGCATTTACTATGTGGCTATGTATCAGAGTCTTTGCAAGGGACTGGAGATTTAGGAGTGAACAAGGCAGACATGAATCCAGTTTCATGAAGCTTATGCATAATGATGCAAAGTATCATGAAGTCCTACCAATTTTTAATAGTTCCTTTTTTCCAGACTGCAGTTTTAACATGTTTGCAGTTCCTTAATGTTTGAAACTAGTTTTCTTTTCTCGGACTTTCTCATCATTTCCTTACTTCATGCTTTCCTAATTTCCCACTTAAAATACTATTATTATTCTCTCAATAGTATATATACTATATATACTGTTTGTGTGTGTGTGCGTCTGTATAAATAAACACTATATATTATCCTCTTAATTAATTTCCCTGACTCTAATCTTAGGCTTCCTAACCCGTCACTCTGTATTTTATAGTTATTGTTCTAAAAATCTTAAAATCTTTTAATGACTTCTCATTGCCTGTTGGAAAAAGTCTAAAACTCCTCGTCATGGTTCATAGGATCTTTGTTTTTTATGGATCTTATTTTTTTGATCTCTTCAGGTTTATTTCTTGCCATGCTTCCAACTATCTGCTTCAGCTGCTGTTTAGATCAAAGTTAGATCTTTGTACCTACTTCTGTGCTGGGTGTTAAAACTCTTGTACCGTGAGGACAAAGAGGAAAGAGAAATGGTTATTTTCTTAAAGAACTTAGGTACTTTAAAAAAGAGACACATTAGGGCGCCTGGGTGGCTCAGATGGTTAAGCGTCTGCCTTCGGCTCAGGTCATGATCCCGGGGTCCTGGGATCGAGTCCCGCATGGGGCTCCCTGCTCCTTGGGAGCCTGCTTCTCCCTCTGCGCCTCTCTCTCTCTCTGTCTCTCATGATTAAATAAATAAATAAAATCTTTAAAAAAAAAAGACACATTACATAATGTCCATATTACAGTATGATGATAGAGGTAAGGTCAGAGAAGCATTAATCTAGTCGATTTACAGCTTTCCAGATTTTTGGTTGATGCTATTCTTCTCCTTAGAATGCCCTTTGACCTTCCTTCTAGCAACTCCCTTTATTGCCCCCAACAAAAAAAGCAACCAAATGGAAAAGTCTAGCTAATCTTCCAAGCACAAAAGAACTCAAGTTTTACCTATTAAGAAGGCTTCCCTGACCATACTTTGTCCCTCAAGCTGAATTTAGTCCTCTCTCCTGTGTTCTCTTAACACCGTATCATACTTCTGTTACAACTTCTGTCTTTTGAGTTGTGTTACTGCTTTGTCTATTGCACCATTAACGTAAACTTCTTAAGGGAAATATACTGTCTTATTTTGCATTCCTTGAACCTAAAGGCAAGTAATTGTCATTCACTGTTTTTTATTTATCACTAGGTATTCTCTTTTTATTTATTAATACATATAATTATAAATATATTCTAAAAGATACAGTTAATATTTGTTAATATGTTCTTTTTGAGTTATGGTTTACTTTAGAATTCTAGACGCAGAAGCAGAAAGGAACTTTAGAAATCATCTGATCTGGTGTGGATGCATGGTTAGAATCAGCTGGAGAGCTTTTTTTTTTTGTTTTAAGATTTTATTTATTTATTTGACAGAGAGAGACACAGCGAGAGAGGGAACACAAGCAGGGGGAGTGGGAGAGGGAGAAGCAGGTTTCCCACTGAGCAGGGAGCCCGATACGGGGCTGGATCCCAGGACCCTGGGATCATGACCTGAGCCAAAGGCAGATGGTTAACTACTGAGCCACCCAGGCGCCCCAGCTGGAGAGCTTTAAATGATTAGATTTCATCTCACACCAATTAAATCAGAATACTAGGAGTGGGGCCCAAGTACCAGTATTTTTAAGCTACCAGGTGGTTGTAATTTGCAGCCAGGGTTGAGAACCATTGATCCTAGTTTCACAGTGAAGTGAGGAAAGCCAAAGGAGGTTAAGTGACATGCCTTTGCTATATCTCAATCTGGGATCTTAGACAAAACTGGGGCCCAAGACTTCACATTTTCAGTGCAGTGTTCTCCACAGGGAGGCAGTGCAACATAATAATTAGGGCAGAATCAGAAAGCCTGGGTTAAAATTTTGCCTCTTAGAGACTACAGGCTTGGCAAGTTACTAAACTTGTCCATACATCAAGCAGATAAATTAATCATACGTGTAACTCTTGGTTTGGAATTTGCGATGTACATAGCAAGTGCTCAGTAAATATTTTCAGAAAATCTTTTTTTCCTTTAGGACTTTGAATGGTAAAATGGAAGTGGGATCATTATACTAGTTAAACTCCTTTTATGCTTTGGTGGTTTTTAACCGTATGAGATATGGCCATTTTTGGTGATTCTTCAGCATTTACGCCTATTTCTCTGTACCACAAAATGAAACTGGGCTACTTCGTACTCTTACTGGTTTCTTTAATATGGTTTTCTTTTGGCTTAGGTACTGGCCCCTCTTCCTGGAGGGATTTCACCACAGACGGGTGTCATCATTCAGCCACAACAAATCTTATTTACAGGAAATAAGACTCAAGTTATACCTACAACGGTGGCTGCACCTACACCCGCGCAAGCACAGATAACTGCAGCTGGCCAGCAGCAGCCACAGGCCCAGCCTGCTCAAGCACAAGCCCCACTGGTGTTACAGGTTGATGGAACTGGGGATACATCATCTGAAGAAGACGAAGATGAAGAAGAAGACTATGATGATGATGAGGAGGAAGACAAAGAGAAAGATGGAGCTGAGGATGGGCAGGTAGAAGAAGTAAGTTTGTAGTAAAAGAATTGAAATGAGAAACCACTCAATCATTTATTTTACTTGGTGCCAAACTGATGAATTATATGCTATTTTTTCAGAGGCTGTTAAGATGTTATACAATATAGGATTTTAAATATAAAGTTAGATTGTTCTAATAAGGTTTTTAAATGGTTCTGGTATTTATCATCATAAAATACTGTATCTTGTAGCTAGTAATAAAAAATAAATGTATATCATATTGAGTTGTATTTATAAAGGGGGTGGAGAGAGTGCGAGTAATTCTAATTTTCTGGCTTATGCATTCATGATGTGATTTAAACATAAGACATTGGTAGAACAGATAAAATGAGGTTAATCTTTGCCTCAATAATTAAAAAGGTATGGCAACATCTGGGAAGAGAGGAGACTTGAGGAAAAAGCTAAATGTCACAGACTTATTCATTACTTCCTTTGGTCTGTATTCTATACTAGTTCCTTACGTCACTTTATCTACTCTTAGTGTCTTTCTTGAGTTAAACAAACCATTCTCATTCATCTTTAGTTATATATTTCTAGAAGCATATAAATATATCTTTGTTTTCCTCAGTGTTCCTGCATGGTTACTTGTGTTCAAGATGTCTTTCAAAATTTTTTTTATTTTTTAAGATTTTATTTTTATTTATTTGAGAGAGAGAGCACAAGCAGGGGGAGCAGGCAGGCAGAGGGAGAGGAGAAGCAGGCTCCCCGCTGAGCAGGGAGCCCGATGTGGGGCTCGAGCCCAGGACCCTGGGATCATGACCTGAGCCAAAGGCAGTTGCTTAACCAACTGAGCCACCCAGGTGCCCCTCAAGATGTTTGTTTTCCGTTTTTAATTGCTTTCTTCAACTTAAGATGTAATTTTGTTTATTTTAGGACAAAATTCTTTAATGTTTTTAAAAAATATTGTTTCATTAAATATTGAATAGATACAAATGAATAAAAAATATTTTAACATAAAAACACCCTTATGTCCACATCTAGTTAAAAATAATCCCATTACAGGGTGCCTGGGTTGCTTAGTCAGTTAAGGTCCTACTCTTGGTTTCCGCTCAGATCATGCATGATCTCAGGGTCATGGGATTGAGTCCGGCATCAAGCTCCACACTCAGCTCAGAGTCCTCAGAGTCTGCTTGAGATTCTCTCTCTCCATCTCCCTCTGCCCCTCCCCCCTGCTCACCAGTGCGCTCTTTAAATAAATAAATCTTTAAAAAACATATAATCCATTATTTTATTAAATTCCCCTGAGTACCTCTCCCCAGCCCCCATCCTCTTCTGTCATCAAAGTAACCGTGCTCATGGATTGTGTGTTTTATCATCAACTTGCCTTCATGTTTGCCATCTGTATTTATATTCCTAAAGAGCATAGTGTTTGGTGTTGAATGCCCATTTATAACATAAATGGAGTAATTCTCTACTCTTCTGCAAGTTAATTGCCTTTTTTTTTTTTTCCCCCTCAAGGTGGTATTTCTGAGGTTCATCTAAGTTGTACATACTGGTTATTTTCACAATTGAATATACCATAGTTTATTTCTCCATTTCTTTTCTGATGTGATGGGCATTAGGGTTATTTCTATTTGTTTACTCTTAAAGTTATAAAATATTTTGGAGTGTGTCTTCTGGGGACACATATGCATGACTTTTTTTAAAGTGTTATACCTAACCGTTGAATTACTGGATTCTAAGGCAGGCACGTTTTCAACTTCACGATAAAATGCCAAATTGTTGTACTAATATGTCTTCACCGATACTTAATATCATCAGACTTCTTAATTTTTGCCAGTCTAATAGGTAGAAAATGGTGTTTCCTTTTGGTTTTAATTTGATTACTGATGAGATTTAGCATCTTTGATTCTTTCATGTTTTCTCTATAGACAATCAAATATCAAACATGGACGTTTTTCTTGCCTCATTGGCTTAGCCCTCTAGAACAATATTAATTAGAAATAGCAGGCAGCCTTATCTTGTTCTTAATTTTAAAAGGAAGCCTTTCTGTGGTTCACTATTAAGTATAATGTTTACTATAGGCTTTTTTTTTTTAAAGATTTTATTTGAGAGAAAGAATGAGAGAGAGAGCATGAGAGAGGGGGGAGGGTGAAAGGGAGAAGCAGACTACTCACTGAGCAGGGATCCCCATGTGGGACTCGATCCTGGGACTCCAGGATCATGACCTGAGCTGAAGGCAGTCACTTTTAACCACCTGAGCCTCCCAGATGCCCTACTATAGGCTTTTTATGGACATCTTTTATCAGGTTAAAGAAGTTCCCTTCTATTCAAATTAAGCTTTGCTTTGTTTTTTAAATTCTAAATGAATGTTGAATTTTGTTAGTTCTTCTGCAACTGTTAGATAATCATAAAATTTCTTATCCTTTAATCTGCTATTTAATAACTAATTGCACTAATCGGTTTTCTACTTATAACCAGTTTTGTATTCGTTGGATTGCACAACTTGATCATTCTGTATTACCCTTTTGATGAATTTCTGAATTCACTTTGTTCAGGACTTTTTCATGTACGTTCATGTACTGTCTGTGATTTTCTGTTCTCATACTCTTGCTAGGTTTTCAGGTTTGTGATAGCATTATAAAATGAATTCTGGTGACTGCTCTATCTTCCTTGGACGACTTTTTTTTTTTTTTAAAGATATACTTAATTCTGTGAATATTGGAGCATGCTGCTAAAATTATGTGATTCTAGTAATGTCCTTACTCTGTTCAAGTATTTCTTTTTGAAACAGTTTGGATAAATTTTATTTTTCTAGGCTATATATGTAGATTTTTAAGTTAGCATAAAGTTAATGATAATCATCTTTTTGATTGCAGAATCCTTTGTAGTCATTTTCTATATTCTCATTTCTGATTTTGTGCCTTCTTGCTCTTTTTTTCTTATTCAATCTAGCCAGAGGTATGTTGATTTCATTAATGTTTTTTAAGAATCAACTTTTAGCTTTATTCTCTCTAGTGTATTTTTTTCTATTTCATTAATTCTTGTTCTGACTTAACAGTTTTATTTGTAGAGTTATGATCTGTGTAATGTATGAGGGACCACCTTTGAAATTGATTGGGACTTGGCTTTATGTGGTCAGTATTTGCATATGCTTCCTGTATATTTGAAAAGATTTTTGGCAGTTGTTGGTTGTCTTCTATACGTACAATTAGAATTAAATTCTTGGGATATTATATATCCTTACTCATATTTTTTGTGTGCTTACACCATCATCCATTAGTGAGTGAGATAGGTTCAAATCTCCTATTATGATGGTATATTTATTTGTTTTGTCATTTTGCTTTTTATATTTTGATATAAATATATATGGATGCACATAAGCTTAAACGTACACTTGCCAGTGAATTGAGCCATTTATGATTATGTAGTTTCCTGCTATTTATCTCTAGTAATTTTTTTTTTTGCCCATATAGTCTGTTTTGTGTGATATTAATAGAACCGTACCAACTTTGTTTCAGTTAGAATAGCTCCTTTCATTCTTTTACTTTCACATTTTTTGGATCCCTAAGCTTTAGGTGTGTCTTTTTTTTTTTTGAAGATTTTATTTTATTTATTTGACAGAGAACACAGCGAGGGAGGGAACACAAGCAGGGGGAGTGGGAGAGGGAGAAGCAGGCTTCCCACGGAGTAGGGAGTCCATTACGGGGCTTGATCTCAGGATCCTGGGATCATGACCCGAGCCAAAGGCAGACGCTCAACGACTGAACCACCCAGGCGCCCCTAGGTGTGTCTTTTTTTATGTGGAATACTGCTTTGTATGCTGTCATCTTACAAAATTTTTACATGGGCCAAGACTATTCAGTAGGAAAAGAATGGTCTTATTTAATAAATGTAGCTTGGACACCTGAATATCCACATGCAAAACAGTGAAATTAGACCCTTACCTCACACCTTATACAAAATTAACTCAAAATGGATCAAAGACCTAAAAGTAAGACCTAGGGGTGCCTGGGTGGCTCAGTCGTTAAGCGTCTGCCTTCAGCTCAGGTCATGATTCCAGGGTCCTGGGATCGAGCCCCACATCAGGCTCCCTGCCCAGCAGGGAGCCTGCTTCTCCCTCTCCCACTCCCCCTGCTTGTGTTCCCTCTATCGCGGTCTCTCTCTGTCAAATAAATAAATAAAAATCTTAAAAAAAAATAAATAAAAGTAAGACCTAAATCTATAAAATTCTTAGAAGAAAATAGGGCAGAAGCTTCATAACACTGGGTTTGGAAATAGTTTCTTAAATATGATACCAAAAGCACAAGCAATAAGAAAAATAACAACAGACTTAATAGATTAAAAGCTTTTGTATGTCCAAGGACAATATTCACAAAGTTAAAAGACAGCCTATAAAATAGAAAATATTTGCAAATCCTCTATCTGATAAGGGCTTAATATCCAGATAGAAAACTTTTACTTATTTTTTTTAAAGATTTATTTATTTGAGAGCGAGAGAGAGAGAAACAGCATGAGAGGGGAGAGGGGCAGAGGGAGAAGCAGACTCCCTGCTGAGCTGTGAGCCTGGTGCGGGACTCGATCCCAGGACTCCGGGTTCATGACCTGAGCCGAAGGCAGTCGCTTAACCAACTGAGCCACCCAGGCGCCCCAGAATAGAAAACTTTTAAATTCAACAGCAAACAAACAACTCTATTCCAAAGTGGGTAAAGGACTTGAATAGGCATTTCTCCAAGGAGGATATACAAGTAGCCAACAAGCATGTGAAAAGATGTTCAACATCACTAGTTATTACAGTAATGCGTATATCAAAACCACAAAGAGATACCACTTCACATTTACCAGGATGACTGTAATCAAAAGAGAGAAAAAAGGAAACAGATGTTGGTGAGGATGTGGAGAAATTGGAACTCTTTTGCATTGCTGGTGGGAATGGAAAATGGTGTAGCTGCTGTGGAAAAGGGTTTGGTGGTTCCTCAAAATGTTAAGCATAAAATTATCATATGACCCAGCAACTCCCCTAAGAGAATTGAAAACTGTTATTCAAATAAAAGCTTGTACATGAATGTTCAAAACTGTTTACAAAATCCAAAAGATGTAAATAACCCAAATGTCTATCAATTGATGGATGGATAAATTAAAATGTGATTTATCCATGCAAAGGAGTATTATTTAGCCATGAAAAGGAACAAAGTACTGGTCCATGCTACAACATGGATGAACCTCACACATTATAAGTTAAAGAAACCATACCACATGTTGTTGTATGTGTATATCGTATGTTTGCATTTATATGAACTATCCAGAGGTAAATACATAGTGACCAAAAACAGATTAATGGGGGGCTGGGGAGAGTTGGGAATGGGGATTGAATGACTGTTTAATGGTAAAGGTGTTGAAAATGTTCTGGAATTAGATAGTGGCGATAATTGCATACATTATTTATGTACTAAGTATGACTGGTTTTACACTCTAAAATGGTTAAAATGGTGAATTTTATGTTACGTGAATTTTACCTCAATAAATTGCTTTTACATTTACATTGGTGATATCTATTTTAAATTAAAGAATACACACACACACACACACACGTGTGTGTGAGGTATAAGCCTAGACTTAATATCAAATTGATTATTTTCCTTTCCACTTTTATTTTGTCCTATCTTCTCTTTCTCTGTTAACTAGAAATCTGAGTTATATCTTTTATCTTCTCAAATAACAGGTCAGATTTAACATAGTTGGTCATTTTATGCTTTAGTTAGATCTTGGCCTTTAATTCTCTTTGGGACTGAGACCCCCTTCCACTTCACCCTTCCCACATATATTCTTTTAATCTGAATGCCTTAGTTATACTAAAAGCCTCGACCATTACCATCACAATGGTAGAAATGCTGATATTATAGAGTCTTAGTCCTCCACATAGAGACAAGCCAGATTCCTAGCCTGTTTTATAGCCTTTTTTTCCTCCTCCAACTTCACCACTGTTTTCCCTTTTACTTTTTACTCTGCTGCTGCTGGTGGTACATAGTACCATTATCTCATTAAACCTTCATATTTTCTTAGGTACCCTTCTAGGCGTCTTAAACAGTTATTGGAGAGAGTAATCTTGTGCTGTTCTAAAAGAATGAAGGAAATAAACATCTTTTCAGACTTAAAAGTTACATAGCTTAACTATTTTTGGTTTCTTACTGGAATTTCAGTAAAATTGGCAGTCTTAATAAGTTTGTGGTACATATGTGTGTGTGTATATGCTTCTGTCTGAACCTTCATTCTTAGAGAACATTAAGGTCATTGTATTTCTTTTCCTTGATTATTAGAAGGGCCTTTTTCTAATAATACATGAAGGATAAATAAGTACTCTTCTTTCTTATTTGTAGGAGCCCCTCAACAGTGAAGATGATGTGAGTGATGAGGAAGGACAGGAACTCTTTGATACAGAAAATGTTGTTGTATGCCAATATGATAAGGTAAGGATTTTATCAGGTTACTGACATTTTTTCTGTTGTAATTTCTTCCCTAAATATCTTTTCTACCTTTTTCAAACATTTGGGCAGCTGATGGATGCCTCTTATATTCAGTATAAACAGGCTGAATGTAGACAGTGTTATAGTTTAGTATATTATTTTAATAAAATGAGAAATTATTTGTGTAGCTTTACATTTGAAAAATGTTATGAATGAAATCAGGAGAAATAGGCTTCTTTCAATTTACACTGTCTCCCAACTCACTAACAAAGTTAACAGTCCACTTTGGTATTGTCCTTTAACATTAATAACCCAGTAGAATAACCCTGTTTTCCCTTTAGTTTCAACTACCTCAAAACTAAAACCTTTAATTGAATTTTGTCACTTTTTTTTTATTACTAAGGAGATAACTAGGGCAATAAACAGGACTGCTAACTAACAAAAGATACGTTTTTACTGAAAATCATTTTTAAAATTATTTAGCTTTGCTGTATTTTTGGTAGCCTTAGGTATTTTTAAACTAGGCCTGTGAGAATTAGCTATTGAATTCTTGTTTTCCTAATTCTTCAAAAGGAAGCTACTTGCCACGTATTTTTGTTATTATTGGCATTATTGTTGAGATTTTGTTAATTATTGAAACATTTAATTTGGAATAAAATTGTTTTCTATAATCATTAAATTTATAATAAATACACAAATTATGTTGCATTTATAATTTCATTTCAACAGTGGTCTTTACCAAATGATGAAAACCCTAACAAGCAATTGGGCTTTTTGTTTGTAAGCATACTCATTCACTAAACAAACACTGAGTGTCTGCCTGTGCCAGGCACTGGAGCTGTAGTTATGATCATGCAAAATTGTGCCTTGCATGAATTTCCTTTACAAATGATGAAAATCTTACATTTGTGTTGCTTTTATAGAAATGAATCTTACAAGTAGTCGTGCTTATTGCATATAAATAGCCATACTTTTTTTTTTTAGATAGCCATACTTTTTGGAAACATATCTATAGGGAAATGTCAAAACACTTAATCTTATCATTTTGTAATGAAAAGGTAAAGTCAAGCCAGTTACTTGCAGTGAGATTACAGAATAAAGTCAGTGAAGTCATTCATAAACAGAATTATCAGAGGATCCACTTTTGTACTGTCTGACTTTTGGGTGAGCATTCTTAAAACCTTACAGCAGGGACATTATAATTAATTTTTTGTTACACTTGTGTAATGGAAAGAGTATTAATGTTAAAATAGATACCAGTAAATCTTACATTGTCAGGAAATTTCAAAGAAACCTCATGCAACCAAATTAGCTAGAACACAGTTTCATGATGACAAGATGTCAGATTTATCAGGCAAGAGAGACCTCTACCTTAGCTAGATTGAAGGATATCCTAAGTATTTTCATATTGTAAGAATGTATTGTATTCTTGTTTGGTATTGTATTCTCCTTTGGTACAAATTGTACACATAATATTTTAAATGTTAAAATTGGTTTGTTTTGCTCCTAGAAACATTTTAATGTTTTAGACAGAAATTTAAAATAGCTTTAAGTAGTGTGTTGAGTAATAAACAACTTTAAAGTTCACAGAGATCTAATTTTTAGAATCAAATGAGTTCTTGAGGGCTGGGCCTGATGTTTTACTCAATAATAAAGAATGCAGGTGTTCTATGAATGATTACAGTGGGGTTGGTTATGGTTTGAGTCAACTTGAATTTTAGGATTTTATTTTTGAAGCCTAAACTTTAGAATTTCAACAATGAGTCAATTTTAGAAACCATTATGGAAAGAATAATGTTTATGTTGCCAGTCAAATCAAAATTGTTCTTAAACCTAATAATGAAGCAGAGTTCTCCCTTATAGAAAGGACTGATGGCATCAGGTGTTGAGGCTTCAGCCTTATTTATTGGTAATTTTACTTAATATGTTTGTCATTAGGAATTTAAGAGCCCTTTCTTCTGAAGTGCTGAGTATATGGACTATTTGATCCTGAAGTTTTTCTATACTTGCTTTTTGCAAGTTGTCAATACAGGAGAACGCAATCAGTTTCTTTAGTTGTCTGGGAAATTTCTTTTTCCTGGCTACTCATCACTTTCTTGCTTATATAATCCCATTGTCTTTCAAGTTGGAGTCACTTGGTTCATGCTGGAAATAAATTTATGTGTCCACTTTCGGATAGTTACTACTTTCTCTATAGGGAGTCAAAGAAAAAAGGAGACCGGTTTTTTCATTCAACAAATAGAGTGTCTGTGATGTACCAGGGTACTGCACTAGGCGGTTGAGATACACTGGTAAACAAAGTAAAACAATCCCTGCCATTGGGAAGTTTAGTTAAGGGAGACAGATGCTAAAATGTAATAAATAAATAAATTATTATGGTATGTTAGAAGCAGATAATTAGTATGGATAATTGGTAGGAAAGGGGACAGGTTACAGTTTTTAAAAGGTTAGTCTTGTTAGATCTTTTGAGACGATGACATTTGAACAGAGCCTTGCCTTGTCATTATCTGGTAACAGAGCCTGCCTGTTTGGTGTGAGGGGTGGCGTGGAGGCTGGAGTGGTTGGACTGGGAATGCAGGGGAAGGGATATAGTTAGTAGATTAAGTCAGAGGTAAGTGGGGCAGGTGGTGTGGAAATTTATGAGGACATGGGCTCTTATGAGCGAATTGGAAAGTTATTGGAAGGTCTCAAATAGACAGTTGTAGTATCACTTACATTTTAATTCTAAAAAGATTACTTTGTCTTCTTTGTTGAGAGTGGGCTGTGTAGAGGAAGCAGAGTTGAAGCAAGGAGACTAACAGAGGGATATTGTAGTAATCCAAGTGAGAGAGAACGGTGACTTAGGCTAGGGGATAGTATTGGAAGTGATGAGAAGCAGCTGAATCTTGGGTATGTTTTGAAGGAAGAGTCAGCAGGATTTTCTGACTCTTCTTGACAAGTGGTAGAAAAGAAAAAGAGGAATCAAGAATGATTCAAGATTTTTTGATGAGGAACCAGAAGGAAGAATGGAGATGCCATCAACTCAGATAGGAAAGGCTGAAGATGGAGCACGTTTGGGAGAAGAGAGTAATTAGTTTTGAACATGGTAAGTTTGGTACGTCTGTTGGACATTCAGATTATCTATCTTAAGATGTTATGTTTAACGTCTTACCTCATAGTGTATTTTTAGACCAGAAATATAAGACCACTTAACATAAGAGTTTCTGCCTGCCCTGCTATTTTAACTTTATTTTGCTCTATCTTATGATAAGAAGAAAAATTTGATAAATATTAAACGTGTATATAACTTAACTCAGTGATGTAGAGGAAAAGCATGAGAGTAGTTTTCAAATACATAAAGTGTTGATTTTTTTTTTTTTTTTTTTTAAATTAAGTCCCAGAAGATAGAGCTAGGATCAGTAAGTAGAAGTTTGGAGGAAGAAGATTTCAGTAAGGGGTGAAGTATGAAAGACTTAGAACAGGCCCAGAGTGGAATAACTTAATTTGAATGGATTCTCAGAAAATATCTATACATAGTGAGCATTTCTGGATTATTATATGAAATGGCCTGATTTAGTAAAAAGTGTCTTGGATTTGAGAATCATCTCTGGCACAAAATGCTCCTGGTCAATTCATTGAACCTCTCCAAGCTATGATTATCTTTTTTTGAAAATGAAAGCCTTAACTACTTGATTTTGAGGTCCCTTTAGATCAGAGAAAAGGGAGAACCATGGGTCCTTCTTTGAAGATATGGAGCTTAAGCTGAAAATTGAACGAAGCATGGGATTTATTGGGAAAGGGAAGAAAGGTCATTTCAGTTGATTAAGTTGATTAAGTTTTATAACTCCTGTTCTCCTTAACTATGAATTGCAAACAACTAAAAACTGTAAATGAAAGAAAAGAGGGTAGTGCCCAGGGTCTGGCCCAATTTGAACACTGCCCTTCCCCCTTTGGCTTAATTGCAGATGCACATAGGTTTTGAAATCTGTAGGTGACTGGATGATCAGCATTCCCTCAGATGTATTTGTTAAATACTGCCATGTGTAAGGTTCCATGTTAGGTCTTGGAGAAAACTATAAGGGGTTTTACTTTGGTAGAAGAAATTCTTTGTAATTGTATATACTTAAAATGATACTAGAAATGTGTTTGGGAATGACACTGAAAATTAATTATTAGGAGAGACTACTTTTAGCTGATGTGATTAGGGAACGCTTTGAGAGAACACAGTATTTTTGAGGTGGATCTTTAAATCGGAATTGAATTTGTGAAAATGGGAGCAAGGAATGATACTTCTTTTGATTGAAATATAGTTTTTGAGGAATACGGAAGTAGGAAATAAGCTTGGAAGGTGAGTTATTACCAGGTCATTTAGAAATAGAAATAGTCAAGCAGAGGGGTTGGAAGGAAGGTGAGAGTGAAGCCTGGAAATCAGCTGGAAAGTTATTATTATAAATCAGGTAACAAGAGGCTGTTGATGGGGTAAACTAGAAGATAATTGGTGGCCATTGAGAAAACAGTTGCCAGGTGTCCTGTAGATAACTAAAGTAGAATTAGAGATAAAGTAATTAGAGGTTAGAAATATTAATGTTAGTATGGATTTTAATAGTGTTGGACCATAGTATTAGAAGAGTTAGCAATATGGAAATTGTTACTGTATGTGAGGAAGAGAATGGTTGTAAACATGATTCCGATACTGAGGATGGATAGTGTCCCGGTGGTCTAGATAAGAATGAAAAAAAGCTTAACGTTAAATAGTGTAGACATAAAAGGAGTTACGGAGAAAAGGCAAAATAGTGGTCTAGAAGCATCAGAGAAAACAAAGGGTATTCCTATTTTAAAAGTTTGCCAGTATAAAATTTCCTGTGAAAAGGGGGCACATGTATATATAAACTTGGCGAAAATAAGATACTTTGCAGAGAAATGTATTATTAATGAGCACAAGTATTAAGAGCTGTAAAATAGTACTAATTGCAGATACATTTATTTCTTTAAAAACTCACCTGAGTGAATAGGATGTTTTGTTTGTTTGTTTTTTGTCAAATTTAACTTTATTAAGAAACCAGTTTGGGGGCGCCTGGGTGGCTTAATCGGTTAAGTGTCTGCCTTTGGCTCAGGTCATGATCCCAGGGTCCTGGGATGGAGCCCCACATCGGACTCCCTGTTCTTTGGGGAGCCTGCTTCTCCCTCTCCCTCTGCCTGCTGCTCTCCCTGCTTGTGCTCACTTGTGTGCCCTCTCTCTCTCCGTCAAATCAATCAGTCAATCTTGTAGAAAAAAAAAGGAAACCAATTTGTCAAAAAAATAAAAAACACAAAAAACCAATTTGGCCAGCCACAATGGTATGAAACTAGAAATCAATTACAAGAAAAAAACTGGAAAATTCACAAATATTTGGACATTAAACAGCATGCTACTGAACAATCATTGAGTGAAAGAAGAAATCAAAAGAGAAAACAAATCTTGAGACAAATGAAATTGGAAATATAGCATACCAAAACTCACAAGATGTAGTAAAAGCACTCTTAGGAAGGAAGTTGATAGAGATAAATAACTATGTCAAGAAACAAGAGACATCTCAGCCTAACTTTGTGTCTTAAAGAACTAGAAAAAGAACAAATGAAGTCCAGAGTTAGTAGCAAGAGAGGAAATAACAAAGATCAGAGTGGAAATAAATAGAGAGTAAAAAGACACTAGAAAAGATCAATGAAACTAAGAGCTGGTTCTTTGAAAAGATAAATTGCTAAGCCTTTAGTTAGACTCACCAAGAAAAAAAGGATAAGACTCAAAATCAGAAGTGAAAGGGGGTTGTTATAACAGATACCACAAAAATACAAAGAATCATAAGACTACTGTGAACAATTATATGCTAAGAAATTGGACAGCCTAGAAGGAATGGAAAATTCCTAATCAAAAACATTCCAGCAAACCATCATGAGACCAGATGGCTTTACTGGTGAACTCTACCAGAATAAAGAAGAAATTCTTCAAGAAGAATTAATACCAGTCCTTCTCAAACTTTTCCAAAAAATAGAAGAGAAGGGAACACTTCTAAACTCATTTTACAAGGTCAGTATTACCTGGACACCTAAACCAGACAAGGGCACCACAAGAAAAGAAAATTATAGGCCAATATTCCTGATGAACACAGATGCCAAAATCCTCAACAAAATATTAGCAAACTGAATTCAACAATATATTAAGATGATCATATACCATGACCATGTACCAAGTGGGATTTATTTCAGGGGATCCAAGGATGATTCAACATACACAAATCAATGTGGTAACTGACCATATTAACAAAATAAGGATAAAAATCTTATGGTCATCACAATAGATGCAGAAAAAGCTTGTGGCAGAATTCAACATCTCTTTATGATAAGAATTCAAGAAAGTGGGTATTTGAGGGGACGTAACTACCTCAACATAAGAAAGGACATACATAACAAACCTGCAGGTAACACACTCAAAGGAGAAAAGCTGAAAGCTTTTTCTCTTAAGATCAGGAACAAGACAAGAATGCTTATTCTTGCCATTTTCAACATAGTATTAGAAGTTCTAGCTAGAGCAGTTAGGCAAGAAAAATAAATAAGCACCAAATTAGAAAGGAAGAAGTAAAACTGTCACTATTTACAGAAGACCACGTATTATATATAGAAGACCCTGAAGACTCCACCAAAAAACTGTTAGAAGTAATAAACAAATTCAGTGATGTTGCAAGATACAAAATCAGTATACAAAATATGTTGCATTTCTGTATGCTAATAATAAACTCTCAGAAGGGGAAGTTAATTCCATTTATTGCATCAAAAAGAATAAAATCCCATGGAATAAATTTAACCAAGATGAAATGTGTGCAGTGAAAACTATAAGACATTGATGAAGGAAATTGAAGAAGAAACATGGAAAAATATTTTGTGTTCATTGATTGAAAGAATTAATATTGTTAAAGTGTCCATACTACTCAAAGTGATCTACGGATTCAACAGTTTTAGTGCAATCCCTATCAAAATGTCAGTGGCATTTTTCACAGAAATGGAACAGATAATTCTAAAATTCAGAAGACCCTGAATAGCCAAAGCAATCTTAAGAAAGAGAGAGGCGTTTTGCTTTCTGATTTTATACTATATTACAAAGCTGTAAGAATCAAAACAGTATGGTATTGGCATAAAATCAGACAAGCAGATCTGTGGAACAGAAAAGAGCCCAGAAGTGAACCCAAACATTTGTATTCAATTGATTTACAACAAAGGAGCTAAGAATATACAGTGGGGAAAGGACAATCACTTCAATAAATGTTATTGGGAAAACTGGACAGCCACATGCAAAGGATGAAACCAGACCACTGTGTTACAACATATACAAAAATCAACTCAAAATGGTTAAAAACTTGAATGTAAGATCTGAAACCATAAAACTAGAAGAAAACATAGGAAGTAAGCTCCTTGATGTGGGTCTTGGTTATAATTTTTTAGATTTGGCACCAAAAGCAAAGGCAACAAAAGCAAAAATAAACAGGACTACATTGAACTATAAAGCTTCTTCACAGCAAAGGAGACCATCAACAAAATGAAAAGGCAACCTACAGAAAAAATATTTGCAAATCATCTGATAAAGAGTTAATATCCAAAATGTATGGAGAACTCATACAACTCAATAGCAAAAAAGCAATTCAGTTTAAAAAATGGGCAGAACTAAATAGACGTTTTTCCAAAGAAGACATAAAATGGCCAACAGGTGCATGAAAAGGCGCTCAACATTACTATTCATCAGGGAAATACAAATCAAAACCACAGTGAGATACCAGCTCATACTTGTTAGAGTGACTGTTATCAAAAACATAAATAACAAGTGTTATGTGTGGTTGCGGAAAAATGGGAGCCCATACACACTTTTGGTAGGAATGTAAATTGGTATAGCCACTATGGAAAACTGTGTGGAGGTTCCTTGAAAGTCCAAAATAGAACTACCATATGATTCAGCAATTCTGCTTCCTTAATAGTTATTCAAAGGAAATGAGAACACTAACTCTGAAAGGTTTATGCCCTCCCATGTTCATTGCAGCATTATTTACAATAGCCAAGACAGGGAAGCAACTTAAGTGTCCATCAGTGGATGAATGATAAAATGTATATATTTATATACACATGATATAATATTATTCAGCCATAAGAAAGCAAGGTTGTCATTTATGATAACATGGGTGGACCCTGAGGCATTATGCCAAGTGAAATAAGAAAGAGAAAGACAAATATATGATCTCACTTTTGTATGTGGTTCTACAACAACCAAGCAAAAAACCCCAACAACAACAACAAAACAAAAACTGAACTCATAGATACAGAGAACAGATTGGTGGTTGCTAGAGGCCAGAGGGTGGAGATTGGGGCAAATGTATGAAGGGGGTCAAAAGTATAAACCTGAAGTTATAAAATAAGTTATAGGGGTGTGATAAACAGCATGATGACTGTAGTTAATGCCATATATACTTGAATATATACTTGAAAGTTGCTAAAAGAGTAGATCCTAAAAATTCTCATCACATGATGAGAGTGAAACCTTGATTAAATAATTGAGGAACTCTTATCAACAGTGACAAGCCTCTGGGTGCAAATCCAAGAATTTTGGAGACTTTGCAGCAATGGCAGTATCATTGAAACAGCTTCATATCTACATTAGGGGAGAATGGCACTTCATTTGGATGCAAGTACATCATAGTCACTGCATGAGAGTCTACAGTGTGTTCGGAACTTCCTAACTGGTGCTGTGTGCTCAGAAGATAGTCTTACACATTCCTGCAGAGAAAGATCAAGGAACCATAAATTGCTTTATTTTGTTGTATGTAGGAAAATAAGTGGTGGAATTGAAACATCTGCAGTTTTAAGGGGGTCTCTGAAACTGGGCACTTGGAAAATGGCTAGACGTGGGTCTTTTTCTAAATGTGAAATTAGTGCCAATAAAGTACTCTTCTGTTCTCAAAAAAAAAAAAAATCACATGGAAAAAAAATTGTAACTATATATGGTGGTGGGTGTTAACTAGACTTATTTATGATCATTTTGTAATATATACAAGTATCGAATCATTATGTTGTGCAGCTGTAACTACTGTTACATGTCAATTATCTGTCAATTAAAAGAACAATTTATAAATGGAGTAATGTACAAGACAAAGATTTTTTGGTGTATGAATGGGTTTTTTGTTTCCTCTGTCTTTTGATTGTATCTCTTACATTCTTTTTTTTGTTTATTTAGATACACAGAAGTAAAAACAAATGGAAATTTCACCTCAAGGATGGCATTATGAATCTTAATGGAAGAGATTATATATTTTCCAAAGCCATTGGAGATGCAGAATGGTGAAGAATTGGTTCTTTTCTTTTATAAATAAAACAAAGAAACTTAAAAAAAATTTAAAGTGGACAGTTTGAAACTTGGGACATACACCAACCAAAACTTAATTTCTGCATGTCAGAAAAGTGCAGTAGAATCAAAGCTACTGGAACAAAGAGACCTTGACAACAGACACTACTAACTGGCAAGCCATGGAACTGTAGCACCTGGGGTTGTTGGGGTGGGGGAGGTTGGGGTTTTGGAAAACCATAATTGTTGATTTTAAATACAGGTACCTGCCACCAGTAATTAGCATGTAAAGCTTTGTCTATATTCCTTCCTCCAACTTGGGTTCAATCAGAAGATACTTGTTGGAATGAACTGAAGAAAATTTCCTTTTGATAGATTGAACTGAAACTGCTTATTGTATGTGGTTATATTTGGTAAAAATTGCGTGTGAGCTTTTTACAAAAGGGTAAGAATTATGGTGTTGAATTTTAATTCACTTGTATAAGGAAACAATTTAGAACTCTCATTATAGGTCTTAAATATTTTTACTAGCTATTCTCTCTCAGTAATATATACCTCTTCCTTCCCTGCTTTATGAAATATCTCTTTAAAGAGTTAAAGGAAGTAATCAGTGAATACAGTTTGGAGGCAAAATTTGACCCAGGAATGATTATTTTAATTAGGTTTTCATACTCATTAAATATAACTTGGGCCTCATTGAGTTGAACAGAATTAAAATGGCAGCTTTTGTTTCCTTACAGAAAAATATTTCTTTTAGTCCCATACCTTATAAAGAAACCCCAGAGTGGCTCCTCAGGAATACAGTTTTATTTCACAGAGGTACCATCTAGCTGAAATTACATACATAAGAATAGATATAGATTTTTTCCTGTTGGGTTGAAGTATATGCTTATATATGTGTTTAATCTTTAAGCTAAACAGACATTTAGATAACATTCTGTGCATTGACTGAAGCATTGGGCAGGTAGTGAAGACCTGGATTTTTTTTAAACAGTTTAGTAATTATAAAAGTTTCTTGTGTTTACTAGTAAAGAATTTAAAAACTATTCTAATTGAACAAATATTTTTAATTGCAACTTTGTAATTTGAGGGAGAAATTTGTGGGCTAGAGGGGGTTGGGCCACTAAGTACATATTTACCTCTCTTTCATTTGGTGGCCCTTCCAGGCCATTGATAATGTAGACATGGGCTCCAGTTTGCACATCGAGAAGAAAGCATAGGAAATTTGACTGTATATTAAGAATAATAGAAATGTAATATGTATATTAAGAATGCACAGCTTTGTATTCTATAAGGGGCTCTAAAGAACAATATGGCAGTGCTATGTTCTGTGTGAACTAGTTGCCTGGGAGAACTGTAGGAACATTTGTCTTCATCTGTGTTTTCTTATAACTAATTCTTTTTCATGGTCTATCTTCACAAAATTCACATGTGTTTAAGTTACTTGTATATTGGTTTTTTTTTAAGTCTTCCATTTTTGTCTTCTTTTTATTTGCCTTTGTTTGTGTTTCCAGAAATAACATATTAACACTTTACATTGCAAAGAAAAACTGTGAGCTATTATGTTTTTTTAACACAAATCTATAAAAGGCTAATCAATCCTTTTTTTTTTTTTTTTTGCCTACTTCCCACCCCACGTACCAACTTGGTCCCTTTAACTTATGTTCTGAACTTTGGTGTAAATGATGGTTTCTAGCATGCTAGTAGTTAGGTTTTATTCAGATACCATTAACTGGTAATACGGTTTTAATTTTTACTATAGTTTTTTGGAGGGGAGGTTTATTTGTTTACCCCACTACTCTCAAAGCACACACAGGTTTTTTTGTTTGTTTTTGTTAATGAATCTGGGAGAAGAGAAGGGAGGGAGTGAAATCAAAGAAGTCCTGTTGTTCAGTTGTCCTTCAGTATAGTTGCTAATAGGTTTATATTTACCCAGTGAAGAAGTCAATGACCTGAACTACCTATAAAAGTTTAGCAGTACTGCAATGTTGATTGAAACCCTTTGGCTATATCGTAGTTCTTCTGCTACTGAACCTTGGATTACTATAGGATATACAGCTCATGTTTTGGGCCCTCTATGTAGACAAACATTTGTATTCATAGTAGAATTGTATGCTGGCCTGTTTTTATAACATTATTTTCAAATATGAACAACCACTGCTTTCAGAGTGACTCACTAGGGTTATTTTGAAGCAGGAAATAACCATTTGTATTTGCACCTGTGTATTGCATATTAATTATGGCATACTTGGCAAATGCTTTTCTTTTACCTGTGAAAATTCTGAAAGCCAGTCCAAACAACACTGCGTACCAAATTGTGCTCTTATGTATTACTGCATCGTGTTCCTTTTTAATCAAATAGAATGTTTTGGTTTTATTATAGTGGCTTGCTATAAGAATGCCACTTGCTTATCTTTTACTGTACTTGAATTCTTAATCATGCTTTTACATTGTATTTAACAAATCATTTCGTTAGGTTCGTCATTCCTTTGAAAAGGCAAGGATTCCCACTTTCAGAATTTTAAAATGAAAACAACATGTTTATTCAAAGAGGGAAAATAGTTCAGACTTGGTATTATGAAAATAAGTAAAGGTTTCAGAAGAGGATTTGTTTAGATTTGCACAGATGGTGATGGCACCTTTTACTACAAAAAAAAAAAAAAGGAAAGTTTACACAAAATTACTAGGTAAAGTGTGGAAATGTGTGCCTTTCAGTATATGTCCTCTTTTTTGGTGGTCATTTGGATTATCAGACCATTTGAATTGCCTGAGAGCACATTTAATTTCTGTGGAGAGCCACATTTGGCTAAAACAACTTTAATGTGCAATTAGTTTCTAGAGTAAAATGTCTGTTATATGAGGGGGATCTTTATATTGGGCTTTTATATTTTTTTAAATGTTCACATTTTCTTTTGTTAATTAAATGCCATCATATCACATTTATATTGTTGCTTCTCTTAAAATCAAAGCCACCTTGATGTTATTCTTAGGAATACATCAGGATCTGAGCGGTGTGTATAGTGATTAAAATGTGTTCTTGAAGAGCATATTCTAATAGATTTTGGTTTTAGCAAGAACATAAAAATATAATAGCTTTTGTATAAAGATTTTCTTTTGCTATATTGAAAGTCAAAGATTTGGTGTTCTTTTTTCTGGCTTTTATGGAGGAATAAAAAAGGGTTGTCTCCCTCTAAGAGTAATTTTTGGTTACCTTACAGCAATAATGTCACCATTCTTTTCAAAAGGTAAATATGCCTTGTACAGGAAAACAGACATAATTTCCTCTTGGGAGTTCCCTTTATAACTTAGCATTTTCTTCCACTTGAGAAAATTCCTATATTTTCGGATTATTTCATCTTGAACTTTTTTGAACTTTTGTGCAATGGAATATTTTATTGATCCATCTTTGTACATTTTCATTTTATTTCATGTCTGTTTCCCATCTATCTGTCTGAGTCAGCTATTTCGGATTTTGAATTCATTGGTTAAAACATAGTTGCTTTAAATAGTTCCTCATGAGTTTATATTAAATAGTTTTGCATTTTAATCTATTATGCTATGGAAATTATTCTGAAGTTTATAATTCCCTTTTTAAGCCTGCCTTAGCCTATCTTTTGTCATTTTTTATGATTTAAGGAAGAACACACCAAACTTAATATTTGTGCTTATTTTGAGGAACAAGAGAAACGTTTTTCTTCTCTTAAGGGAAGGAACTGCATTGAATTAGTAACTACTATTTTAGTCAAGCTTCCTTAAATCGTTCCAGTATGTGTCAGGGCTACAATTTTGGGGGAGGGGCTAATCCTTTTGCTGTTCTGAGCTACTATTGTCAACTGCTGTTGTACATACTGTTATGTGTAAGGGCGTAAATATATTTATTATGTTTGTAAAATTCATTCTGTACAATTGCAGATCAAGGTTGCTCTTCTGTGATATACAGGATATTATGTTTTAAAGACCATCTTGGAATACAATTAGAGAACTTAGTATTTTGATGTACTAAGACCTATTTTAAGTTTAATATTTTACCTTTGCAAAAACTTTAATTAAAGATGTTATTTAAAAAAGAGTAATGTTGCTTGCTTTGCTTACTAGTGTGTAAGATTTTTATATAGATAACTGACTAAAACTATACAGTTTAGAAAGGAAAATGCTTACATTGTTATTAAGTTCCATTTATCAAAAGAAAAGGGCATCATTAAATTCTATACCTTCAAAATAAGTAGGGTGGGATGTCAATCTGAAATATTAAGCTGTTACAAGTTCTTAGTAGCTTTTAAGAAGAATAGTTGTATTTTCCAGGCACACAGGAATTTTTTATTTTTTGTTTATTTTTTAAATTTTATGTTATGTTAGTCACCATACAATACATCACCAGTTTTCAGTGCAGTGATCCACGATTCATTGTTTTCGTACAATCCGCAGTGCTCCGTGCAGTACATGCCCTTCTTAATACCCATCACTGGGCTAACCCATCCCCCCACCCCCCTCCCCTCTAAAACCCTCCGTTTGTTTCTCAGAGTCCATAGTCTCTCATGGTTCATCTCTCCCTCCGAGCTCCCCCGCTTCATTTTTCCCTTCCTTCTTCTAATGTTCTCCATGCTATTCCTTATGTTCCAAAAATAAGTGAAACGATATAATTAACTTTCTCTGCTTGACTTACTTCATTTAGCATAATCTCCAGTCCCATCCATGTTGATGTAAAAGTTGGGTATGCATCCTTTCTGATGGCTGAGTAATATTCCATTGTATATATGGACCACATCTTCCTTATCCATTCATCTGTTCAAGGGCATCTCGGCTCTTTCCACAGTTTGGCTATTGCGGACATTGCTGCTATGAACGTTGGGGTGCATATGGTCCTTCTTTTCACTACATCTGCGTCTTTGGGGTAAACAACCAGTAGTGCAATTGCTGGGTCATAGGGTGTAGCTCTGTTTTTAACTTTTTGAGGAACCGCCACACTGTTTTCCAAAGTGGCTGTACCAGCTTGCATTCCCACCAACAATGTGAGAGGGTTCCCCTTTCTCCACAACCTCTCCAACGTTGGTTGTTTCTTGCCTTGTCAATTTTTGACCAGGCACACAGGAATTTAAACTGGGCTAAATTCACACCAACAAAATATAACTAAAAATTGATATAATTAACATATTGTAATAAATTAGTAATTCTACTCCAAAGAGTAGATTACTTAGTATAAAATTATTTGAGGGCATATTTGTTTTTTAATTACTCTGTTAAGCTAAATCTTTTCCTTAGTTCAGAGTTTGTGAATAATTGCATAATAGGAGAACTGGGTTATTGAGGTTTGTATTACGTATATATTTTGTGTTATTTTAGAAGGTATTAAATAATTGGCAGGTATTTTATAGTTAATTCAAATGAATCATTAAGAAGGTTGTGTTTTTTTTGTAATTTTTTAATCCTGTTACTAGTTTAGGAAACAAGCAATTTTAACCATTAAAACAATCATAAAGACATTTATTGCCAGCAAATCTTGTATCTTTGCACTTTAATCTCCTTTGTTGATGACCTTAACCATTTTGGCCTCAGTTTCTTCATCTGTAAAATGATGACTGTGATTTTGAGGATTGAGGTATAATGCATGTAAAGCTCTTAGAATTGTGCTTGGTAGCAACAAGCACTCAGATGTCACAAATTATAGATTTTGTAATTACATAATTTCATTAGTGGAGCTGCAAAAAGCTTTTTTTTAATGGTGAAAAATAGCAAAAGAGAATGTGATCTGATTAAGTTGAGGCAGTGAAAGATTTGGTTACAACTAAACAAATTAAGCCTGGGAGGTTGAGTTAGTGAAGGCAGTGGCGTAGCAGAAAGTGCCTGAGGGAAGAAAAGCAAAGGACAGGTATAGGAGAGGGTAATGAAACATGGTTAGAAGGCTTTACGCTTTTCTTTTTTTCACCCTAAAGTAAACATATTCTGAATTATAGGTCTAAAATAGGTTGAATTTTCCCAAAGCTACAATTAGATTTGCAGCATTTTTAAAAATTACACAATTTTCCTAAATGTCAATGTGTTCTTCCCAATTCATTTATGGAGAACAACACTGATAACTAAAATATTGTTATGGAAAGATTTTGAAGCTCTGATTACCTCACCCTGAGTCTGACCTGAATCCCTCTCCTAGTGATTGTTGATGGAATTGAAATGATAACAGTTACCTCCTGAGCGCTTCTGGAATAGCCCTCTTCCTCAAACACAATGTTACAGAGTTCATTCCCATTTCTGTTTCCCTATCCAAACCTCGTTTACCAGTAACTACTGTTTTCCCACTCACTGGGATTTGAAGCTTAGTGTCATCTGAACCTGTTTCTTCCCTAGTCTTATCCAATTTTAGTAAATAGCTCTACTGTCTACCAGGTGCTCAAAACAAAACCCAAGGAGTCATCCCTGAAGCCCTCCCCCGCCTCCACTTTGCCACATCCAATCTATCAGCAAGTTTTGCTGTATCTACTGTCAATATATACATTGACAACTTCTATTTTCCCTGGTACCTAGTCTAAGTCACCCCTAAATCAGACTGCCATCAACTAGTCTGACAAAGCTTCTTTGTTGTACTTGATCTTTCACATGAAGGGAGAAACAGTGGGTCAGTCTCCCTCAACTGGATCTCAAATGTGTCCATTGGAGGAGGGCCCCACCATGGCCTGTTATTCTCTTGCTGACCCTGACTTTAGTAGCTACGTCTCACTAAAGCCCATTAACTCATGTCCATGTGGAATTCATTCAAAGTCCTGATGCGTAAGTGGCAATCGCATGGGGACATTGACAACATCTGACAACACAAGCATAAAAAATTCAATTCCTTTTTTTTTTTTGATTTTATTTATTTGACAGAGAGCGAGAAAGGGAACACAAGCAGGGGGAGTGAGGGAGGGAGAAGCAGGCTTCCTGCTGAGCAGGGAGCCTGATGCCGCGGGGCTCCATCCCAGGACTCCAGGATCATGACCTGAGCCAAAGGAAGATGCCCAATGACTGAGCCACCCAGGTGCCCCCCAAATTCCATTCCTAAACAAGGCATTTGCACCTGATTTTGCCCTTTGCCTGCAACACTCTCCCTTTATTTTTTATTTTTTTAATTTTATCATGTTACCCACCATACATTACATCATTAGTTTTTGCAGTAGAGTTCCATGATTCATTGTTTGCGCATAACACCCAGTGCTCCATGCAGTATGTGCCCTCTTTAATACCCATCACCAGGCTACCCCATCCCCCTACCCCCCTCCCCTCTAGAACCCTCAGTTTGCTTCTCAGAGTCCACAGTCTCCCATGGTTTGTCTCCCCCTGCCATTTCCCCCCATTCATTTTACCCTTCCTACTATCTTCTCTCTCTCTCTCTCTTTTTTTTTTTAATATATACTGTATTTGTTTCAGAGGTACAGGTCTGTGATTCATCAGTCTTACACAATTCACAGCGCTCACCATAGCACATACCCTCCCCAATGTCTATCACCCAGCCACCCCATCCCTCCCACCCCCCACCACTCCAGCAACCCTCAGTTTGTTTCCCGAGATTAAGAATTCCTCATATCAGTGAGATCATATGATACATGTCTTTCTCTGATTGACTTACTTCGCTCAGCATAATACCCTCTAGCCTTGATTTATTTTTTTAAGATTTTATTTATTTATGCACACAGAGCCCGGGGCCATGACCTGAGTGGAAGGCAGACACTTAACCATCTGAAGCACCCAGGCGCCCCAATGCTCTCCCTTTCGATCTTTATGGTTTCAGAGTCAAGAACATTCCTGTTGCTTCTACTATGCTTTATCTTACATTGAGACCTGATAATGATTTTTCTTTCCTTGTTCCAAATATGTTCTAACTCACTTTAAGACAAACAATTGATATTTTTCATATATAATGGACTCATACAAATTAATAAGATATTCCACCAGGGAAAGTGGACACATGGAATAAAGAAATCAGTTCTTCAAAGAAGAAGGGCAAATGTCAATTAATTGACCTTTTTCATAATTGAAAGAACAGGAAATAAGACAATAAGAAACCATTTTCCACCTATCCAATGACTAGACGAAAGAATAACCTGTCACGTCAGGGTGTGGGTAAACGGGCTTTATGATAGATTGCTTGAGGAAGCATAAATCGATATAAATGTTCTGGTGGACAGAGGGAACAAGAAACACACAATGCTTTGAGTCAGGAAAGGGAGATGGTGTGTAAAGGTGCAGAAATTTACCCAAAGAGCCTTGATTGTGGTGAGCATGGGAGAGGACAGATGTTTGGGGGGAGGAAATAAAAAGATTCATTGAACACTACATCAAAAACTAATGATGTACTATATAGTGGCTAACTGAACATAATAAAAATAAAAAATGAAAAAAATGAAAGAAAATAATAAAAAGATTCATATTTGATATATTTTTAAGTGTGTGGTGCCCATTAAGACATCCCGGTTGAGGTATCACTATGGCAAGTTGGATATAAGTAGATGAGCTCGGCAGGGATGTCTGAGCTCAACAGTATCTTTGGGAATGATTATCAGATGGAGGGCATTTAAAGCCACAGAAATGATTCATCTAAGCCAGAACACAGAGATAATAGAGAAAGGAAGAGGTTCAAGACCAATCCCAAGGCAGAATTTGGGAAGAGGAGTAGTTAACAGGACTGGCTACATAATTTGCAGAACCTAATGCAAAATGACAATGTGGGGCCCATTGTTCGAACCTTCCTAAGAATTTCAAGACCGTGACAGCAGAGCATTAAACCAAGAGCGTGTGTGACTTGTACGTGTCACACACCCTTGAAGCCGTCCCTGAGAATCAGTAGTGTGAATGAGCAAGTAAGACCCAGTAAAGTAGGAAGAAAGGGGAGAAGCTGTCAATAAGGACGGTATTTTAGGGGGGACTGGGTTCTGGGTGCTTCAGCCATCCTACTTCTCTGGCCGCGGTTACTGATTCAGGGGTGGGAGTGTGACCCAAGAAGTCATTCCGTGAACTTCAGGACTCTTGCTAGAAATGCTCAAAAATCTCTCTTTCTCTTGGCAGATTTGAATGAGGAAGCATGTAGCTCAGTTGCACCGGCAGCTCTCCCATGACCTTGAGGAGAACCAAGCTTAATACACACATGACATAGGGAGGCAGAGCAGAAGATG